CACTTCATGAAGCAGAACCAAGCAAGGAAAAAAAATTGTAATATAAAGTATAAACTTGCTTCAATACAGAAAGAAAAAAAAGAAGAAACAGAGGCGCACTTCATGAAGCAGAACCAAGCAAAGAAAAAAAATTGTAATATAAAGTATAAACTTGCTTCAATATAGAAAAAAAAAAAAATCCATAGGCACACTTGCAGAAGCAGAATCAAGCAAAGAAAAAAAAATTGCAACATGCTTTCATGTCTTTCTATTTCTAATTCCAACTTTTTGTTCTGGTGTCAAAAAAAAAAAGAAAAAGAAAAAAGAGAGAGACGGCATTTGCAGAGCAGCAGAAGTAGAACCAAGCCAAAAAATAAAAAATAAAAATTATAACATGCTTAATCACTGTCCAGTAATAAGATCAGTGCTTACTTGAAAGATTACCTGAAATTGGAGATGATATGGTGTGCAGAACTGCAGATCAGTGCTCAATTGCTGTCCCTCCAGTTACAGGAGGTGTGAAGGGGTAAGCTCTGTCAGAGTTGCAAGCTATGGCCGATGGAGACTAAGAGGAGAGTCGAGAGGAGAGTAGCAAGCTATGGCTGATGGTGCGCAAAGTGTAGAGGAGAGTTGGGAGGAAAAGAGTCGGAAGACCAGATGTGGTGGGATGAGACCAGATGCGCGTGCAGGATGAGACCAGAATCCAGATGCGATGAGTTTTAGCTTTTAGGGTTTTCTTTCTTTAATTTATAAATAGAAAAGTTGAAAAGACAAAATTAACTTTAAAAATTTTTAACTTAAACTTTTAATGAGGGTTAACATGGTAATTTGACCAAAACAGTAAAAAAAATTACATAGCAGCCGCTATGAGCACTATCCGCTATCTGTATAGCGGCCGCTATTGACAAACCGCCACGCTATGACAAATTTTCATAGCAGCCATAGCTGGCCGCTATGGCCGCTATTGACAACACTTAATTAACATGTCAGTTCTACAAATGTCTATTTACTCATTATTATTATTATTATTATTATTATTATTATTATTATTATTATTATTAGTTGTAGTTCTATAGATGTCTATTTACTCATTATTATTATTGTTGTTGTTGTTGTTGTTGTTGCTACTGCTTGATTCAAGTCAACAGTTGATGTTTACCATTTGGAAGGTACAGATAACATGACAAGCTTCCGGAAATGTATAGATCTACTACTAAATTAAAACTTAAATTTATTTCCAGTTGTAGTTGTTAAAGTTGGAGATGCAACCTTGGGTTTTGTGGATTTTTCTCTTTCTCTTACAAATTTACCATGTCATCTTCTTTACCTTTAGGTAGAACCGTAACTGTTCTCTTTGATTTGTGTTTTAGGGTATAAAACTTCCATCAGGTTGTTTTGTAGCATATCATGAAAATTATTCTTTTATCTCAGATCTTTAACTTTACCTTGTTTTTCTTAAGCAGGTAATTGTTCAAGACTTGAAGAAAATGTTGCTCAGTAGGATGAAAGATCTGCTAAACAAGGGGATGAAGGTTCAAAGTATACAAGCATGGGGCTGGTTTATCCGCATATTAGGATCTCATGCTATGAAGAACAGACATTTAATTAATGATATGTTGAAACTTCCTGAGCAAACATTTTCAGATCGCAACCCTCAGGTCCAGCTTGCTTCACAGGTATCATCAGTTGAATCATTTATTGTTTAAAAATGCTTAACTAGCCCAGATCTCATTTTTATTTTCTTTCAGAAGCAAATTGTTTTTCTTGGGATGCTTAACTAACTCATAAATGGAATGGAATTCTCATTTTGATTTATTTACTTCGTCACTTCCAAAGTTCATCTCTGCTCATCCCTAGGTGCTTTAAAGGAAGATTTAAGTTCAAGGAATATTTGATTTGCAATTATCCTGGGAACTGTTAATTTAGAGATTTGGAATGGTCCAATACCAAGATACAGTATCTAAGTCTTGAGACCTAGAAATTTGTAGGCTGCCCCCTTAAGTTGGAGTATAGATTTATTAAATTGTTCAACAGAAACTCGGGCCATTATTTTCAAACAGCTTTTTCTACCAATAACTAAATTAGATATTGTTTTAATATTGAGATTCATCTTAAAATGTGCTTCCTTGTGGCATGTTGGAATTTTGATCCTTTAAGATTGCTTACATCCTCGATTTTGGCAGGCTGCTTGGGAAGGTCTTATTGATGCTCTTATTCATCCTCAAATATTGGATATCAGGCTAGAAGCAATCTTGGAGAATGATGTTCAACAATCAAAAACCTCTGCAAAAAATATTGGTGAAATGCAGTCAAATAGATTTTTTAAAAGTACAAAGCTGATAATGACACCTCTAAAAGGTATCATATCAAGTAAATGTGACGTATCTGTTCACTTAACCTGCCTAAATACATGGTGTTATCTGTTACATAAACTTGATACCTCTGTCAACTCTCCATCAGTGATAGAACTAGTTTTGGATCCTGTCTTTGAAGCAATTTTTAGAAGTGGACCTGATTGTCAGAGTATCTGGTTATGGGATTTCTGCCTGGGTCTGTTAGATGACTTAATATCATTGAAGTTTGGGGACATGAGTTTTGACTTGAATGGTCAGGTGAGCCCATATCTATCAGATAGGCTCTCTGTGTCTGGAGCTTCTATATCTAGTAAATCCTCTTGGAAGTGTTATCCAATTAAATGGTTGTCCCAGGATCTTGGTCACTTGGGTTTTTATCTAAAGATGATTAGCATCATCATCAGTCATGCATCAAAACAGACAGCTATGCTGCAAACCAAAAGTTTAGCATGCAATGCTGCATTAAGGATTTTTGGATCAGTTTTGAAGGCAGCTCAAACAGAGCTGAAAAATGAGTCATTAAGTTATGAGACCATAATGTTGTGTTTGAAGACTATACTCGGGTTTATAAAGATGACATGTGAAGGTGCTTGTACAGAAGGGGGTGCTGGTAATGACTTGATTCTTACATCCCTTAAATTGATTGAGGTTGTTACCAAGGAATCAAGCCCTTCTATTTTGGGATCCCCTCTTTACAAGGTGGCTTTAGATCTCAAGTATGTTGGTAACATGCAAATAGTTGATCTTAGAAATGAAAATTTTTTGCATCAAAGCTCCATTGCTTATATGGATATGGTTTCACCTATGGTTTATCTAATTGTCCTCTATATTTCTGTGGTGGTTCAATTGACTTTGATTTCACATGAGTTGGATCATGTTCTGCAGGGTTTACAAAAACTTTTTAAGTTTGTACTGTCTCACTATGATCCTTTAGAATATCTTCTTGTCTCTATTGATTTGTTGTACAAACACAAGGGCCGGAATTGTATGCAAATATGGATGGCAATGGCAAAGGGTCTGACTGACTATATTGATGGTGCAAAGTATTTATATCAATTAAAAACAGAGTTCAACAGCAGCAGTTATACAGCAGTATGTTATCTCTTATCATACCCATTCTTGGTGTGGTCATCTTCTCTTGAAATATTGATCCCATTGGAAGTAGGTGGCTCCTTGAATGATTCTGTTTCTTTATCAGGGAAAAAGCTTCAACATACTGTTGAAGTTTGGAAGTCTTTGTATGGTTCCATTTGTACTACAAACTCTATTTCATCTGAAATTAACAATTTCACTGCAGATCTGTGCTCCATGTTAAGTCAGTGTCTTGATGAAAAGGCTAACTTATTTGAGTGTGGAAGTGAGCTTGATGTTAGCTCCATGGATCTGACACTTAATTTCCTTTTTCTATCTGGTGAGGGCATTGTTTGTGTTCTGGAACAGATCTTAAGTTCAGATATGAACTCAGATGGAATCATTTCAGGGCATGAATGTAACTGTAGAACATTCAGTGGCATTAACAGTGTCTTGGAATTTGCTGCCAGGTAAACACAGACTCATTCCTTGTTTAAAATGTATCCAAAGCCCTCATAAAACCTGAATTAGAATGAATAGTGGTCACCTCAAATGCAGTAGAATGCTAGGTGCCAGAATCAAAACCCAAACACTCCCATATTTTTGTCAAATCTCATTGAATGCATCAGTTGGTGTAATCATTGATTATGGATCAGTTCTTAACCTAAATTAAGATTGAGTTGAAGACAAGAAGCTTACATTACCATTTTTGGTTAGAAATCTAAAAATTCTATCATCTGTAAGGAAAATTTATACAAGAACTTAGCCAAGAAGTTTATTATTACGGAATTCCCAAAAACATTGGGAACCAAATTTGTTAAAAGCTGGAAAAAGAATCTTTGTTGAACTGTTTTTAAATCATCTTTGAATATATAGGCTCCATTTAATATAGTTTTGGTTTGAGTTTTTAGGTTTTATTTTTTGTATATTTAATAACTAGTACTCTATTTAAATTAAATTTAATAAATTTTAATTTTTAAATATAGTAATAGTTACTAAATGTATACAAAATAAAATTTCAAAACCAAACCAAAACCATACTTGACGGAGCCATAGTTTTCTAGATATATTAATTTTTTATGAAGAATCAGAATGTGTTTTTCATTGTTTCTATTTATCAAGAATCAGAATGTCTTTTAAGTTAGCTTAAATATGTATTATATAATGTAAAAGAATATGTAAATATTAGTTTTTAAGGGGCTCTTATATAGCACTTGGGGTTAATTCAGGTACTTGAAAATGTCCTGCATAAAAATAGCAGCAGAATCTGCAACTTGTCTTGTGATTTCAAGGTAAGTCATTCCTACTGCTTGTTTATGTTTAATGCTGAGGTTTCTCTCTTGTAAACTTGGTTTGTATTTTTGTCTCACTTTGTTAAGAATTCAGCAGGGTATTCTCTGCACTAGCGGGCTTGCTTGGTTGCATTCACTTGAAGCAAGATATAGTTTCATTCTTTGAGGTTTGTAATTTCATTGCACATCATGTTGCCAATATAAGTTTGTATTTTCAATTTGTTTCTCCTATTTCTTGGTGCTTATTGACCTTTTGAAACATTTAGTCATTTCCTCTTTACTTTCACCGCAGATAATTTCTTCTCCAGCGCTTCAATGGCTGTCACATGTAGAGATACCTGATCAGAGGGTCAAGCATCAACTAGGAATTTTGTGGTCCGAAATCCTTAATTGTTTACAGAGGAGTCAGCCACCAATCATGTTCGATACTTCCTTCTTGAAGCTTCAAGCAAACCTCCTCGAAAAAGCCCTTTGTCATCCAAATTCCTCCATTTCAGATCCTACCATTGCCTTTTGGAACACCACCTATGGTATGCATACCAAGCTAGATTACCCCTCGAACCTGCTTCATGTGTTGGACAAACTATCAAGAAATGGAAGGATAAACCTGCAAAAGAGAAGTGTACCTTTTTTGAAGAGATGTTATTCTACACTGGCAGATGAAACAGTTCCACAGAGATACAGAGTCACTGCAACACATAATAGGAGTTCTAAAAGGGTGGAGCTAATGGGGACTATAGTTAATCAATTTGAGAAGGGTGATAAGTTGCCTTCCTCTTCAAAACCGAAGAAGAGAGAACTTACTGAGCATCAGAAAGAAGTGAGACGAGCACAGCAAGGAAGGGATAGGGATTGTGCTCGACACGGTCCTGGGATCTGGACCTATACTAGCGTTGATTTTTCACAAGGAAATGAAGATTCACCAGAGAGTCAGGACATTCGCAATCCAGAAGCCATCTTGGAGATGTTTAGGAAAGCTGCATGACTGTTTTCTTCTTATAGAGCCTTGTTTGGGGAAGCACAGATGTAATTAAATTTTTTTTAAATCTTTTATGTGTATTATGTTTGGGATCTCGGAAAATAAAGATATTTTAGTAATTAAAATAGCAAGAATGATAATGAAAAGATTTAAATATTCTTAATGAATCAAGACACAAAAAAAGAAGAAGAAGAAGAGAGAATTCGAATAATTTGACGAGCAGTACTGACCAGTGTTGTCAAAATCGCGTTTCATATCGTAAAATCTTAAGATTTTACGATGTTAGGTATGGATGTCGAGTAAAATCGACTTCAAAATCGGATTTTCATAAAATCGGATGATAAAAACGTAAAAGCGCGATTTTTTCGTAAAATCGTTTGGAATCTCGATTTCATTTTCACAAAAATTGAAGAAGAGATTTCCAAAAATTTGTTGCAAGGGAGGGAAAGATTTTGGAATGCTACGGTGCCGGCGTGCCGCTGTTCACTGCCACTGCTCACATCTCACGCACTGGCGGGATGGAAATCTATTTGGTGACCCCAATCATGTGGAGCCAGCCTTAAATAGTAGGATTTGGTTGCTGTTGCTCACTGCTCAGGCAAAGAAGGATAAAATTTGTTGCCAGAAAAAGGAGTAGATAAAGATCAGGAAGCGAGCTTGAATGTAGAAAAATGGTGGAAAAGAAAGATGATGATAAGGCGAAGAAGATGAAAGTGTGAAACAATGGAGGGGTACTCTTTTTAGTGGGTAGTATGTTGACACGTGATTGGTGTTGGTTTTTGGGCAATACTAGCTGTTTTTTGGGCAATGTTAGCTGCTAGGGGCACTCGCCTCCTGCACTCTCCAGCCAACACATGCTTCTTTATTAGGCCACCCAAGCTTAATTAGCCATGAATTGATGACCTCTCTGGAAACCAACATGACGTGGCCCAATGAAAATGGAAGTATTGGCTGGAGAGTGGTGTTCCAAGCATTGCTCTTGTTTTTATTAAATTTTTATTATTTATTTATTAAATTTA